AGTGAGTTTTTAAAGCTTTACGTTGTTAACGTTACATGTTACATGTTTTGTGGCCTTTGTATTTATTTATTTATATATTTGCCAACGGATTAACACCTATAATACAGTTTGTTTAGAAGGACAGTTTGAATTGGTCGTAAGTACTATATAGTTCTTTTCTTAAATGTTAACGTTGGTTTTTGGTACTGCTACTTTTCCTTAGAACCGGTGGTAGCAGTAAGAATTTACAAACACATCCACTGGGGGTTATCGTTATAGTGTTGCACCTTATTTCTTATTAAATTTAATTGATGTCTTACTGTATAATTTTTGCGTTTTCTGTCTGGATTCCAAAATGTTAGTTTATGCTATGAAAATGATAAAACATTATTGAAAGATTTTTTAAGCAAACCACTTTTTGAATTTTTAAAGCTTGGCGTTGTTAACGTTGATGTTTTGGGGACTGTGTATTTATTAGTGCGGAGTGTAGGCAATTAGTTTAACGTATCTAAAATACTAAAATGCTATGGAGAGTGATAAAAACAGGTACACGATATAGGAAGTGGCTGAGGAAGTAGTAAAGTATGAGCATATTGTGAGAACCGTCTGTGGCACTTAGATTAATGTATCTTCAATCCTAAAATGCTATGAGAGGGGAAGGAAACAGGCCCCATGACATAGGAAGTGGTGAAGGAAGTAGTAAAGGCTGGAAGTGCAGAGTGGAGGATCTGTCTTTGGCAATTACATTAATGTATCTGCAATCCTAAAATGCTATGGGAAGAGAGGGAAACAGGTCCACGACTTAGGGGATGGTGAAGGAAGTAGTAAAGGTGAGCAGTGTTGAGTGTGGGAATGGATTAATGTATCTGCAATGCTAAAATGCTATGGGAAGAGACTGTAGACTGTATGTTAAAATTATTACGAAGCACGAATCGATACATGTATCGATACATGCAATCGTTTACAATAGAAATTTACAACTGAGTTGACAACAGCTGATTTTTACTCCATAGAGGCTAAAAACGAATTTTACTCCCTAAAGAGTAAAAATGCTACTTTAGACCCGCAACGCATGCATTAAAAACGACTGTTTTTACTGTAGTTTTGCAAAAACAATATAATATGAACCCTTGATGACTCCGCTCATTTTTGTGGATGCCTCTGCGAACGCCACCTAGTATATTTGCCAACGGATTTACACCAATTATACAGTTTGATTAGGCCTAAAAACGATTATCATAACATTTGATGACACTATCAAAACTTACAAATAATTATTTTGTTTGTAATTTGCTTTGGTTAAAGCGTAGCAAATCCCCTAATTCAGTTCTATGTGTTGGTAACACATTAATGTCCTCTTATTTCTTAGTGTTTCGTGGAAAAGACAAGTGCACCTTTGTTAATGAAAATTTCAACCCGAATAAAGTGTGCAGTAGTGAGGTTGAGGTAGTATTTTAACTACTTTTAACACGTGAGAAAAGTAACTTTCAATAATTACAGGCCTACCTTAGGGCTATGCCTCATAGATCTATAAAGCAATTCCTTTTATCATTAGATATAAAATATGGACTAACACTCTCTGTTATAATCTATCTTCTATATAAATAAAATTAGAGTTTTGTCTGTACTTTGCTCAGAATTATATACTTTTAGGTTATTTTTACGTTTTATACATCAAAGAAGCAGAAACGAGTCTTATCTCTATTTCTGTCTGTCTGTCTTTCCCTTTGTCTGTAAAACTCAAGATGGCATTTTACGCAATCTTCTCCGTGAAAACCAGAGTACCTATCAAGATCCAAGTCATTTTAATGTATTCACTGGATTGGCGAGAGTGTCTTTAGTGATTTAAATATAGCCTCACTACTTTGTAAATAAAATTACGGACGTTCAAAAATGCAGTTTTGTGCGATTTTTGTCAAATTTTCGTTCAATTTTTATCACATAATCGTCTATGAAATAACGAACAGCTGTTCAGATCAAGATTATTTTTTCTAGCTGTCAATGATATGTTTACAAATGTTGTTTACAAATACCGCAACCATTTCGAATCACGTTTTGAAAGCAAATCCCAACCAAGTGAGATTAAAAACGTTTTTCTTACATAACGGATTTAATTAATCGCAAGTGCAATAATATAGTCTAATAGTGTAACCGTAAATGAAATTAAATAACTAGACATCGTCCAAATCGGAACCAGAAATTCTTTGAGTATAAGATGTTTCTTGAGTTTTGACAACCAGAAAGAAGACCTTGAATCAGTGTTGTATAGGGCTGGACACTGAAATGATCGTCGCCAATAGCTTACAAAAAAGGTTTCCACTCATTGACGGCGCTTCAATGGCGGTTGTGTAAAGTTTAAAGTAAAAAATCACAACTGCAGTGGGTGATTGTAACAGAGGTTTAACAGAGGAAGTGCTAAACTCGCTTTTCCAATGTGTCACTTTCTGTTTCTACTCACCGTGTGATGCAATCGCTGGACCATACATCCAATAGGCCCATAGCTCATATCTTGGGTACGTAAGCCTACATATTTATTCATTACAACCTTTTTGACGACGATCCTTGATACCGGTACTTTTCCATAGAATACATGGCCTACCTACTTAAGAAATATAATTACAAATGACCAAAACCCCAACATTGTGTGATTTTCGTCACATTTCCTTCTAATGTTAATAGATATACTAATCATTGTTTAGAGAATGCGTAATCTATTAAATAACAAAAAGTTGTTTGGGTAAGGTTTTTTTTATTTTATTTTTTTATTTTTCAAACTGACACCGATAAGTTAACGCTATAACTTTTTACGAGAAAATCCAAAAGCAAGAGATCAATAACCTCGGGACTAGATATTAATGTATTTAATTGGTCGGATGTACTATAGTTCTTAGGTAGGTTCTTACGTAGGTACTGGTTCTTTTCCTTAGAACCGTTGGTAGCTGCTAGAATCATTTTTACGTAGGTACCAACACATCACTGTAGTTTACAAATTAGTTATCGTTGGTGTTGCACCTTATTTATTAGAGCCGTCCGTATTCAATTTAAGTGATGTCTTAACTCTGTATAAGTTTTGCTTTTTCTGTCTGGATTCCAAATCTTAGCTTACCCGGTATGCTAAGAAAATGATAACCTATTTGAGTAAAACATTTGTTGGGCAAACCATCATGAATTGTTTACGTCTTTATATTGTTTATGTATCAATAGTTCGTGGCCTTTTTTGGATTGTTGTGTGTATGTCTGTTGGTAACGCATTAATGTCCTTATTTCTCAGTGTTTCACGGAATGGACAAGAGCACCTTTGATACTGAAAATGTCAACCGGAGGTTGAGGTAGTACGTTAAATACGTTTAAGTTAACCGATGTGGAAAGTAACTTTCAATTATAGGCCTACTTTAGGGCTACGCTTCATGGATCTATAAAACATTTTTTAGTTTAATCATTGGACATATGGACCATAACGATCCGGGTGACATTTAATTGCGAAACATTTATTTTGGCTTGAACTGTCAGATACTGTATTTGCGAAGGTTTATATATAATAGTTTTGCCAGCATATCTGCAAATATGCAAACTAACTGCTGTTCTTAATCTTAATATAAGAAGGTTTCAACTGACTACTATAAGATCCCCGTGCGTAGAACGGGCACACAGCTAGTTCTAAACAAAATAGTGCATCCCTTCATTCCTGTTAAAATTACTGTTCAAAAGTTAATGACACTTTTGTGATTTTATATATTAAAAATATCATAGTTACTCTCATTGTTTACCCATGATAAAGGTTGTTGACAACCTTAATGGGAGAAAGTATGTGTCAGATTGCTGTTATCGTTTATTTACTTTTATGTTCAAAGAGACTGTGTTTAAAAAGAACACTGATGCTATTTCTAGCTGTTTGATACAAGTGAGTGCTATGGGTGTTTGAAAGACGATGCATATGAGATTTAAAAAAAAAAAACATGTCTGTTGGTCGTCCAAGAGGTTAGTCGCCGATCTTTAAACAGGTCGTCTAATGAGAAGAAGATTAGTATTTGACTAAGATTAACTAAATAAGAATCTGTAACAGGACGTCGTGAAAGAGAGCGGAGAGTTCAAGTACAACCGTATAGTTCATTCAAAAGTTTCTGTGCCCACGACCAGATCTGGTCGGGTCTAGGAGAGGGGTTTGGCGGGGGTACTTTTGTTAAAACATTTGCGTCTTACTACACACCACACTCTCCCCTAACCCTAGCACTGCCAATAACCGGTACCTGTATGTTTTATTTCCGATAGTAGCCACCTGTCCGCGCACACATAAGTTTTGGCCGAACTGTACCACGTTGGTCACCTCAGGACGTTAAGGTGTAAAGGTGCTTTTAACATCTCTTCTGATCAGAATTTCTTGAACTTGGGCCCTTTAAATGAAATATAAGGTAGCAATTAATTAAATTAATTTAATTGTGACTATGGAATTATATACACCCATGAATTCGAACCTCTTAAAAAAAAAAACCCCAACTAAATGAGTTCTGAGTTAAAGAATCAACTCTGCAACTATAGAAAATGATTTAGAAAAACTTGTGTGTCCCCGATCACATTTTTCACACAATTTGAATGGCGTGGTTATAAATTAAATTTAGTAAGGATAAGGTTATGTCGAGATACGTTAGGTAAGGTTAGGTAATGCTGAGATAGGTTGAGATCAGAAAGATCAGATAAAATATAGTAAGTGGTTGCTACTGTTGCTAGCGGCCTACGGCCTCCACTTTCTTTCCCTGCATTCAGTCAGTGACATACAAGAACGAAAACAAAAGGCTACCGAATACATTAAATATTGTAAACTAAGTATAGGCCCTACTCAATGTTAAGGTCCATTAGCTAAAACCACAATTTTCCACATTTTAAGTCTTAGGCAAATTAACAGAATACAGACAATTTGTTTTTTATTTAAACTTTGAAAGATATTGACAACTGATCGATGTTGTCTAGCTACAACCGCGAGGGCCGCAAAGTGGCGCTAGCGCTAGCGTCTCCGCAAGCATCGATCGCCGTCCAAGATGGCGGCATATACGTTCCTGCAGTTGAGTTGTCTTCTGCTATCGTATCAACTATGTGCAGGAAACACGCTGCAGGAACTTTTCTATAATCAGATTCAGAATGTGTTGAACGAAGCCCCCCCGTCAGCTTACGTAAGTAGAGAACGTGGGTCTTGTGTTAACATTGTTGGCATATCGTAACAGATTTCATTGATAACAAACTGTTCTTAAAAATATTTTCTGATTTGGAATAAAATGTGAGTTTTTTCTGACTTTATCAGGACTAGTTTGGCGTTTCCAATATTACGAGTTTTCAAAGATGTTTTTGGTATTAATATCCTGCAGATGAGTTTTCATAATATAAGGTGAATTAAGTATCCTTCAACTGAAGTGGTAAAAATTTAAATGTTTGTCGTATTGAATGTATTTTGAAAACTAAGTTAATTAACTACGGTTTGTTTGAAATCATTATTTTAATCATAATACCTACTTAAACTCAATCACAATAAAAACTCTAGATGTGTAAGAGAAATATCTAAATAAAACCTAAAATTTGAAATGGAAATGAAGAAGAAGAAGCGACCAAGAGTAGCCTACATATTTTATGTCCTTCCAAATTCGTGAAATCAACGTTTTTAGCGGTTGCTATCAATACATCATCAATTGATTCCAGATAAAGCATTATCACGTTTATTACTTACCTAGCTCAAAGGGATCTCTTCACTTTGCATCTAAAATTGTGACTCCTCCCAGCTGTTAAGTATTCAATATTTTTTGGGACTTATGGTTTTGTTTGGTAGGAAATTTAAAATGGATAAATATAATAAATGACTTATTGACTTATTCACTTATTCACGAGAGCTTGGCCCGTGGTTGAAAACTCGACCAAAAGGATATATTGTGCAAACTTCTCTACTTTCACCCCACGCTGTAAATAAAACATGTGATTGGAAGTTCTTTAATTTGTTTTGATTTTCTGATTATATTAATTGTTGTTATTTCGTCACTAACATAGCAACCCATAAGTACCATGTTATTTTTTAAAATTTTAAATTATTTTTTTCTTGTTTTTGAGCCCATATTAACTTTTTAGCGGGTTGTACCAGGAAGACTAAACTTCGCATACCTTCATAAGAAACAAAAATTCACTTTTTTGTCACTTTTTGGTTAACTTTTTGGACCAAAAAGTGAATTTTTGTTTCTTATGAAGGTATGCGAAGTTTAGTCTTCCTGGTACAACCCGCTAAAAAGTTAAGTTGTCACTTTTTGGTTAACTTTTTGGACCAAAAAGTGAATTTTTGTTTCTTATGAAGGTATATGCGGAGTTTAGTTTTCCTGGTATAACCCGCTAAAAAGTTAATATGGGATATTGATGCCTACATTTAAGTTGGTTCTCTCAGGCTGATGAAAATTTAATAAAATGGCCGCCATGTCGTACTGGGTTGAGATAGAGACCTCTAGTTTTCACTGATATTCTTCTTTAATAAAGGCCTTTAAAATGAGGTTTGTTTTTTAATGAGGTGTCACTTGATGGGGCTTTACATTTAAAATTTTGGAGCTACCCCCAAAATACCCCATTTTGGGGTCCCGGGAAAAATTGGGATATCGTCCAAAAAGTGCAGTTTTATTTTTTATGAAGGTATGTGGAGTTTAGTTTTCCTGGTGTCACCCATTAAAAAGCTAACTAGGGGTATCCACACATTTGCCCAACCCTGTATAGGATGGATAAGATATAAATTGATAAAAAATTGCGGATTTCAAGGTGTTTTTAAAAAGCATATTTTTCTCAATTTTTGTTGTATCTAAACCCAAACCTATTAAATGTTTTGTATAATATTAGTGTGTATTAGTATTGTAATAAATCTAATAGTATTTTAGTACACTAGGCTATAGTTGTTTAGGTTCACTGTTGCAATGTGTCGGTAGGATGAGCCAGTGCTGCCACCACACCCCCAGGAGGTGGAAGGGTGGGGAGAGAGTCTGTTGGGCAAGATCGGACAAGTTAGCGGAGTGACAGTCAACCATGTGGGCCAGCCTGTCATCTTCCATAGAGGTCCGCGAGTGTGGGATGCTACGTAAGTCAAGTACTAAATTGTTTGAAAAGTTGTCTTGCTTAAATGGCATTTTGAATGTTAGGCTACGGCTACGATTATACTAGGACGCTGGCGTCCAGGACGCTAGCAGGGCATTAAATGAGATGGGGGTGATTAGACTAGGGATGCCAGCGTTTGAAGTTAAAAAAGTCACCAGATGCTCGATTTTGTGCATCCCAGCTGGGAACGCTGAAATTCGAGCGTCTGGTTACTTTTTGCCTCCCGGGATGCACAATATCGGTTGTGGGCATTGGTTCAAATGAGGTGCATTATACCATTTATACTAGGCTGCTAGCATCCGAGACACTCTCTTTCGACATGTGCACGAATATAGGCAATAACAACCAAACACACAAACAAACAAAGAACGAAAGAAGTTCAAACAAAGAATAGGCAATAAGCTATTACCGTCGGTCTCATAGTAAAACTTGGACCCGGGACCGATTTACTTTTTCGATTTGATGTCCCCAGAGGCCAAAAACACCATCCGTTCAAAATGTTATACATGTAGGCAATATTTTATATAGATTTATATATTAGTTACTGGATTACTGTATATCTATCCGTGAACGCGATAACTTGAGTAATTTTTGTCGTATTTTGAAGAAATTTTGCTTAAAGGTGTAGGGCGGGATTGACTTGAATGAGTATGTGAACCAGCATCAACGGACCATGGCAACGGGGTTTTATGGGGTAAAAAAGGGGTTTTCTCATATTTTACCCACAAAACACAAAATTTGCCAATTTTTCTCTAGAAAATTTTAAAGATTTTAAAACAAAAATAATTTAGTATATTAAAGTGTTTTTGTACAATTATTAGTTACAAAGAAAATTCAAAGAAATTCAAATTTAAAGTTCCCATGTTGTTCTTATAGAAAATATTGTTAATTGTAATTTGCTTGTTTATGGATCAAACTTGGCTAATTTTTTATATTAGCCTTCCTGAAGTGGCAAACGTGGGTACTCATTAAACCTAATAGATATATACAAAAATATAGAGAATCAAAATCGAAATGGATATTTACAGCCTGCCCTGAGGTCAGGTATAATGGAAGCGAGAGGGTTGTTGTTTCATCAGATGCACACTTACCCTCTATTCTTATTAGAGGATGTTGCAATTTGGTAAGGGATGTGAGGGTTTTAACCCATTCCTGACTGAGCTATTTGTCAAGTATCATATAACAAGAACTGCAACAAGAACTTTTACCTAGTACTGAGTAAAAAAGGGCCAAAATGTACAATGTTTTAGTAAAAAACTCATTAAAAATGTAATTTATGAAATAAATGCCTAACACTTGTGCTTAAATTGATCTACATAAAATTTCCTTTTATAAGACACTAATATTAAATAAAAATATTTTATAGCAATTTTTAATACATATAGGCTTATGCATTTTTATATATGCAAATAAAATTTGTTTTTTGAAAGCAAACCTTGAAAAATAAAAATAAAATCTATTGGTCAAATTTATAAATAGTACCGTATTCAATTCGTTACACAAAAAACTTTACTTGGTTTATAGCTGTTTTTGTAAAACTGCAAAACGGCAAAATAGGCCTCGGCCTAATACAATTTTTGCACCAAAATTTCATGTGTACTTAGTTAAGTGTTGGGAGTATTGAAATAAATGGAAAATAATATTCTAAGCATCATTATATTACTTTTGTAACTAATTACAACATTAGGAAAAATTAGGTAAATCAATAATAATGCATAATAAGCCTAATAATAACGCAAAGTAATGCATTATGCGTGGGGACGGACGCTGCCCGTCTTAAGTCTTTCGTAACCTAACGCGCTAGGACGGGCGCCGCCTGTCTTTAAGCGGGAATGGGTTAAGATGCCTTTTTGGCACAATTTTTTTAATGAGAGATATTTTTATAGTATTCTATTTCAATGCAAGACAATAACTTAGGCAAATTTTCTAAACAATAATCCAGTTGTGTACTTAGGGTTGAATGAGTAATAGTAAAAGCTTCCAGAGTTTTGGGATAAATATGTTGTTGTCATTATGGACAGCACATGGAGATAAATCTGTCTAAATGCACGAGAGAGCTGATATTGTGTCCTATATAAACTCAATGTTGAATTGATAAAAAATAAGGTAAAACCATTAAGAGTGTATTACACTCTGTGTATAGTCAATGGTAAAGTGCAGACTTAAATTTAAGAATGATCCTAATTTTTTACTGATATCCTGATATCAAAATCAGGTGAGTTGTGCATTTAAAATTAAAACTATCTTAAAATATCTTCATCAATAGGATTTGGTTGACTGATTCATTCTTTGGTTGCTCTCACTGTTTTATAATGTACTACATGTTTTAGTTCATTCAATGTAACCAAAGACTTCCAGCACCGTGAGCAAGGCCCAATCCGAGAAGATACTGTTCTGGTTTTGGATCCTCACTCTGGCAAGGTAAGGTACTTGCGTTGACACTGAAACTTCTAATGTAGATTGGGAGGTCCCAGTAAAGATGGCAGGATTTTACTTATATTAAAAAAAGGCAGCTACCAATTTGTGTGTGGTAAGGGCCAACTTAAATACAGTCCCGGCCACGTAAAGAGAGAAAATGTCCAGGTAGACCCGGTCAGGCCTTATCTGCCGTTGTCAAAACATAGCTATTGTTTTGAAACCGAGGGGGCGCGCTACCCCATCCCAGCGGTCATTGCTACTGCCTCCCTTTAATTCTTAGAAATAACTACAAATAACCAGTACAAATTCTATAAATCGAACGGGTGATCGCCTATAATTAAGTGACAGGTATATTCACAAAGTGAAGACGAATATCACAAAATTTGAATCACAATTCTACGTCGCTTCGTTGTTTGGCTAGTCGATGTTGAGAAGCAGCAGGCAATGACCGCTGAGGTAGCAATGACTGCTGGGATGGGGTAGCGCGCCCCCTCGGTTTCAAAACAATAGCTATGTTTTGACAACAGTGGATTAGGCCTGACCGGGTCTACCTGGACATTTTCTCTCTTTACGTGGCCGGGACTGTAAATAGGGTCAGGCCCAGGGGAGCAAGGTTTGTTGGGGGTGGGGGGCAAGGATGAGAACAATTCCCCCGCAAAGGAAGGGGGAGGGCAGGCAAAAATCTCTCTGGCCAATTGCATGTCACATGCAAACCCCGGGCCTGGTGTTTGGGAAGTTTAAGAATGACAAAACTATCATACCTTATAGTTTTTTATTGCAGCTTAATCTTTCACTGAATTATTAAAGAGATCGAGTTCTCACTTGGAAAAGAAAAGACCCATATTTTTTTAGATTAACCTACCTTATATTGTGTTCCTAACCAAGGAATTATTAATAATCCATTGGTGATTGACAGGAGTCAATCCCAAGACACATTTTCATACATAAGACAAAATCCTTTCCTTGATCAGAGCTGGTAGCTGAAGCTGAATAACTGGAATCGTTGGGTAATCCTTACTTAGCTTTCCTACAGGCATTGTCATGAAGTCATGCTAAACCTATGGCTATAACATCCTGTATTTTGCACATTAAGCTTAGCAAAGAAGTCACAAAAATTTTCTTTTCAGGTTCTCAGCAGTTGGGGACGAGATTTCTTCTACATGCCTCATGGAATTCACGTAGACTGGGAGGGAAACACTTGGCTTACCGACACTGCTCTTCACCAAGTCTTTAAGGTGACTTATATTACAGTATCCAATATTATAAATTAAACATAATAACACTTATTTTGTCATTTTGATACGTATATTTGATTTATTACAACATTAGTGTTTTGATTATGATTGATGCACACAGTCGTCTTCAGGGTAAAAATTACACATCACCAACATTTGCTGAGGTTTCAGCATCATTGCAAATGCCATCTTCAAGTTAGTAACAAATGATCACTTCTCTGGCTTAAGTTACCTAGCAAGAGTGTCCCATGACAGCTTTCAAGATTATTCAACAATAATTAATTAATCAATTGTCTGGGTAGTCAAGTGGTTGCAGTGATTGCCTTCATATCTGAAGGTTACTGGTTCGATTGCGATTCCAAGCGAGATTGTTACTGCCATGTGTCATTGTGTTAACTAAAGATGCTATTTACCAAAAGGTCAACATTAGATAGTAACAAGACCAGGGCTTGTACTGTTCCCTTTTAACACGTAATAAATGCTATTGGCGTGGATGGAAAAAGATAGCACCTGGAAAAAATGAAAATGTCAAAACATGTTAGAGTGATTGCTTTGTACCCTGAAGATCACAATAGTGCTTTGAAGTTGTGTGACTGTTTACTTTTATTGACAGAAATATTCATTTGCATCAACTTTTAAAGACACACTCCTATGGTCTTCACTCTTCATTTAAACACTGTGGGGTGTCATAATAATTTGGGATTGCAACTTTTACACACCATGGGTTACAACTTAATGTTGTCGTCCAGTTCTCGCCTGGGGCGCGGCGACCTGGTCTTACCTTTGGTCAGAGGTTCAAGCACGGTGACGGACTCCGTGAACTTTGTCAGCCGACTTCTGTAGCCGTTGCGTCCACTGGGGAGATCTTCGTAGCAGATGGATATTGTAACTCTCGCATTCTCAAGTTCGATGGGATGGGAAATCTCATCCGAGTCTTCCCTCAGAAGCAAGGTATTTCTTGATAGAAAGTTAGAAACCAGTTCAAGTGAATAAGCCGAGGATTTTTCTTGTTAGAATATTGTAATAGTAATATAATGTGTAATGTTTCGAGCTATAAGACAGTAATTTTATAGGTTTTATTTTATATTTAAAATTTAAAATGTTGTTTTACCTTATAGCATTTCTATCCAGGAGTTTTTAAAAGTGTTTTTATAATTTAAGACTCACTCTTTTAGAAGAAACTGGACCCAGGTATCTTTGTTCATTAGTTTTAACATTCAATCTGGATACTGAAGTAGGCATTTTATCTACGTATATTGATCAGCTACTGGCATTTTCTTTTGCAGAAAGAACCATAGGCGTAACTAGGATGACCCTAAGGAGAAGGGGGGGGGGGTTACAATGAAGGTCTGGAGGGATTTTGTAATTGTAGGAAAAAAAATTTTGATTGTAAAATAACATGTTTTAAGGTCAAAGGCAGGTGGGTTCAAACCCCTAAACCCCCTCTGGATATGCCACTGAAAAGATCATAGTTCTGTGATCTAGTCAGAGATTGCACTAGTGTCTAAAATTCCATTTTCCTACTTATTCTTTGTTACCGAGGTAGTTGAGGGGGCACAAAAGATGCTATAGATTACAATAAGTGACCAATTACAGTATACTTGTTACAAAAACATATATTATTCGCCTCTGACTTTGGGCACTCAAGAAAACATTCCATCTGACCCAGAGCTCAAGGTATATATTTTTTTTACTAAAAGATAACATTAAGTTAATTAGCGTCATACTGTGTTGTATTTTCTCTTGTAATTTTTCATGCTAGAATATTTCATTATTTGGTGTTGTTACGTGCCTATTTTGAGGGAGAGTAAATCCAGACCTTAGTGGCCTGGCATGAACATAGACTTAATCTAAGATCCTTACAATGGATGATTATAGGGTTTCAGTGAGGGAAAGTATGTGACTGTTTATAAAAAAAAATACCTCAGCATCCTCTGTTGTTCTCCAATTGTTCTTAACTCATTTTTAGTTTAAAACTGGGTCTAACTTAACGTACCTAGAGTTGTGGATTGTACACCTCAAAGTACAGTCTAACCTTGATATAACGAACCTCGATACAACGAATTCCTTGATATAACGAATTTTTTTAAATCCCCTAGAACTCTCCATAAGACACAATGTATATTTTACCTCTACATAACGAACAAATTATAACAACGACCTTGATTTAACAAATTTTTCGTGATTTCGGCTAAAATAAGACACCTCAATATAGCGAATTTATCATTGTCAGAACCTCTACATTGCGAATTTAACCTCTGCATAATGAATTGTCTACGTCTTTCCCTCGATATAACAAATCCCCCACCCCATTATTGTTTTTGAAAAATCTGTTTTTTTATAAAATGAAATGAAAGGTGACGTCATCGCTTGCGCTAACATTCGTCTGCTCCGTTTTACACATCTCTCTGTCTGCTGTCGCTGCGCGCGCTATGTTGCAACTGAGAACTGATTTAATTACTGAGGACTGATGACGACGTAATGTTTAGTAAGCTTGATTGGGCGATAAGTAACTATTATGGTGAATTGTACAATTTTTGGATAAAGAGAAACCTAAGAAAGAATATAAAACAAAACCAAAGAGAAAGAATAGCAACATCGTTATTTTAACATTCCTTTTTCGAGTGTTCTTATTATCTTTTAAGTTGGGTATGATTATACACTTTTATAATGACTTATCTAATAATTTATTGTTTTCAATACGATTTGTTTCAACTAGCAACACCAATGCTATATTTAATGATTATTATTGACATTCCTCTGTTGTGATAAATCAGTACTGTACTGTAAGTAGCCTACCAGCCTATCACGAGCAGTAGCTTACAAAACTTCCTACTACTGTTTTGTTTTGTTCTTTACATGGTTTTTGACTACGCAATACAGTGTTTGGCTAGGTTTTAGGAGGGTTAGAACAAGCTGTGATTTAAAACTTACAGTTTTTAACCTATACCAAGGTCAATGCCATTATCATGATTGCGCATTATTCAAGATCCCTCCCCTTTTTTATGCCGGATAATTTAGGTTCTACTGTACAATGTTAACACTGTATTGTAAAGTATTGTAGCCTAAGCTACTTTAATTGTGTTTTGTCAAATCCCGACCTATATTGACCGACGCTGGTTCTGAACCTCGACTTAGCGAAATTCCTGCAAACATAACCTCTATATAACGAACCTCGTTTTAACAAAATCCTTGATATAACGAATATTCAGTTCGGTCCCTTCAGATTCGTTATACTGAGGTTGGACTGTAGTAGCTCATAACAAGACTAAGATTTGAGAACTGAGGGGTAGGTGAGAAGAGGTAGATGGTTTTGTGATACTTGATTGTTTGCAGGGAGGATGGTTAGGATAATACGAATAAGTATAAAGGTTGGATAACCAATAGGATAGTTGAAACTCTCTGTAAATTCACAGTCAGAGGTTTCAGATGCAAGAATATAATGATAAAGAAATATTTTGTTACCAATAACTTATATTTCTATTGCTTCAGAGTTTCTGTCTCTGGAAGTTCCCCACAGCTTGGCCCTGCTGGAACACCGCGACCTTCTCTGTATCGGAGACAGAGAGAACATGAGGGTAGCTTGTATTGGAGCCAAGTTGAGAGATAGATCTCCTGGACCTGGTCTTACCTTCACTATACAACAACCTGACTTGGGCAGAGTCTTTGGTATTGCTTCTCATGGTAGGTATAGGTAGGGACAAAAAGTACATGAGGGTAGCTTGTATTGGAGCCAAGTTGAGAGATAGATCTCCTGGAACTGGTCTTACCTTCAGTATACAACAACCTGACTTGGGCAGAGTCTTTGGTATTGCTTCTCATGGTAGGTATGGGTAGTGACAGAGAGTACATGAGGGTAGCTTGTATTGGAGCCCAGTTGAGAGATAGATCTCCTGGACCTGGTCTTACCTTCACTATACAACAACCTGACTTGGGCAGAGTCTTTGGTATTGCTTCTCATGGTAGGTATAGGTAGTGACAGAGAGAACATGAGGGTAGCTTGTATTGGAGCCAAGTTGAGAGATAGATCTCCTGGACCTGGTCTTACCTTCACTATACAACAACCTGACTTGGGCAGAGTCTTTGGTATTGCTTCTCATGGTAGGTATGGGTAGTGACAGAGAGTACATGAGGGTAGCTTGTATTGGAGCCCAGTTGAGAGATAGATCTCCTGGACCTGGTCTTACCTTCACTATACAACAACCTGACTTGGGCAGAGTCTTTGGTATTGCTTCTCATGGTAGGTATAGGTAGGGACAGAGAGTACATGAGGGTAGCTTGTATTGGAGCCAAGTTGAGAGATAGATCTCCTGGACCTGGTCTTACCTTCACTATACAACAACCTGACTTGGGCAGAGTCTTTGGTATTGCTTCTCATGGTAGGTATAGGTAGGGACAGAGAGTACATGAGGGTAGCTTGTATTGGAGCCAAGTTGAGAGATAGATCTCCTGGACCTGGTCTTACCTTCACTATACAACAACCTGACTTGGGCAGAGTCTTTGGTATTGCTTCTCATGGTAGGTATAGGTAGGGACAGAGAGTACAAGAGGGTAGCTTGTATTGGAGCCAAGTTGAGAGATAGATCTCCTGGACCTGGTCTTACCTTCACTATACAACAACCTGAGTTGGGCAGAGTCTTTGGTATTGCTTCTCATGGTAGGTATAGGTAGGTACAGAGAGTACATGAGGGTAGCTTGTATTGGAGCCCAGTTGAGAGATAGATCTCCTGGAACTGGTCTTACCTTCAGTATACAACAACCTGACTTGGGCAGAGTCTTTGGTATTGCTTCTCATGGTAGGTATAGGTAGGGACAGAGAGTACATGAGGGTAGCTTGTATTGGAGCCAAGTTGAGAGATAGATCACCTGGACCTGGTCTTACCTTCACTATACAACAACCTGACTTGGGCAGAGTCTTTGGTATTGCTTCTCATGGTAGGTATGGGTAGTGACAGAGAGAACATGAGCATGAGGGTAGCTTGTATTGGAGCCAAGTTGAGAGATAGATCTCCTGGACCTGGTCTTACCTTCACTATACAACAACCTGACTTGGGCAGAGTCTTTGGTATTGCTTCTCATGGTAGGTATGGGTAGTGACAGAGAGAACATGAGAGGGTAGCTTGTATTGGAGCCAAGTTGAGAGATAGATATCCTGGACCTGGTCTTACCTTCACTATACAACAACCTGACTTGGGCAGAGTCTTTGGTATTGCTTCTCGTGGTAGGTATAGGTAGGGACAGAGAGAACATGAGGGTAGCTTGTATTGGAGCCAAGTTGAGAGATAGATCTCCTGGACCTGGTCTTACCTTCACTATACAACAACCTGACTTGGGCAGAGTCTTTGGTATTGCTTCTCATGGTAGGTATAGGTAGGGACAGAGAGAACATGAGGGTAGCTTGTATTGGAGTCAAGTTGAGAGATAGATCACCTGGAACTGGTCTTACCTTCAGTATACAACAACCTGACTTGGGCAGAGTCTTTGGTACTGCTTCTCATGGTAGGTATAGGCAGGGGTGCCCACAGGGGGGTTTGATGTCGCAAAATGCGACATCAGAATTTTATTTGGGGGGGATTTTGTGATTTTGGGGGGGATTCAAGCCTGTGGTTGGTTAAAAGCACATAAAAGATTAATCAGATAATTTTTACGACCTCCTTAATTTATTACTGGGGTAATTATGCAATCAAAATCCCGTTTGACATTTTATCTTGATTAATACATCATTTTATAATTGCTATAAAATATATAGATACTTTTATCTATGCTTTTATGTGGATGGATTTCCACTTTCTGACTCGTATCATGTTTGACAGTGAGAACAACTCCATGACAACTGCTGTCAAAGGATTATGGTTGCTTATTAAATTGTATCTGCAATTTGAGTTTGTTTTAACCTTTCATTATGAACTCATTCTCAAATAGTCTCATTGCCTTGAGGACCTATTGATGGTTTTATAGGTTTGTTTATTATAATATATTCTTGATTCATAAAAAAAAACATTATTATGATAATGATAATCATTTTGCTATTTTTACAACATGAAAAACAACATGAAAGCTTGTGATAATATTTTGGCTCTCCTAAATAATTATGCCTGGGTCATTTATTCATTGGAAGAAATTGACATACAGTACTGTGACATTTAATCAAGGTTTTTGATAGGCTATGTGTTTACGTTAACTTCAAGAACTGAAACACATGATTATGGATTAATTAAATTGTATTTGTTATTGTATTTTCTTGAATCTAGAAAGAGCTTCAAATAAATTTTACTAGTCTTAGAATAGATATATAATTATTTTTTTACGCCACGCTACACTATTTTGACGAACTTCCCATGCAAGGATTTAGTCCAGAAAACAGCTGTTGTCCTTAATCAAATGGGTTTTCATACAGTACTACACTGTACTGTAATGAGTTTTGCTGGACACCAATCAGCTGATTATACTGTAGGGCCTATGGGTGGCAATGAGTGGTTATAACAAAAACACCTCTAGTGATTTTTAGTCCTTTAGTTGGTGGTAATATAGGAATTTGAACGGATTTAGTAGTATGGCGTAAACTATCGTACGTCATTCGTCCAAAATGTGTTGGCCGGACTCGTATAAAAAAAACACTACTCGACTTCGTCTCGCACGGGATTCAGGACTAGTAACGTAATATACTATTTTACCACACTATGATGTTTTTAACTGTTTTACATAAAGGTACATTAATTGGTGGCTGAAAGTTACGTTTTGCAGGCCATGCCAGCTGTCATCGTCATTTGGGGATCGAGCAGGGTTTTACATCCCTAGGGCCGCAAAATCAGCTGCCCGCTTTAAATACACAATCAGTATCCATAGCATTGCAATAGAGTTGTTTTATTGTCACCGCTGCCTAGCGACTATTCATTATTGTTTTTGCTGATTCCTCAAACTATTTATCCACATGACCTTAAAGTTGTAGTTGTGTTGACTATATCAGTGTGCAGTGTATTATCATTGAGGTGAATTAGTGGCAATAGAGTATAGTGTGGGGTGGTGAATAATAGCGTTTGTACCACGGACTGAAATGGTTTTTCAGTTCTCGATCGTTTTAAGTCCTCAACCTCGTATCGGACTTAAAAACTACCTCGAACCAGCAAAACCTCATTTTGGCCCTAGGCACTAAATATACTATTAAGTTTAGGCCTAGTAATATTTTTGAGACTGAATATTTTACACCTATTTAAAAAGGACCAAACTCAGAAGTGGATTAAAGGGCAATTTAGAAAATATCTCAAACTTTTTGACATAACTTTAAGTACTTTCTCCCCTACAATTTAATATGGTAAAAGAATTTTTTATGTAAAAAACCTGATCCCAAAAAAGTGGTTTTCGAAGTGATGTGTGTGTCTGTCTGTATGTGTGTATGTATGGTACAGAGCTACAGACCACGCCTGTGGTCCGAGTCCGATTTTGATGAAATTTGGTATTTTAGGTACCAATCCATGGTCTCTCCAGATTTTTTTTTCATTTTGGATTTTTAATAGTGATATATTCCATTACCCTATAAAAATAATGGATAAATAAAATTTTCTCAGAATTGGCCCGAACGATTTTGATTAAAAATTAACATGTTACACTCTTTGACTATGGCCAATTTTGATTCAAATTGTGTGCATGTCAAAAATCCTCATTTAAATTAAAACTAAACCAACAAATAGTTTGCTACTAGAGTTTTAAAGGAAAATTGTCCATTTTTATTGGGTTTAAAGTTTGATTCAAACGCTTAAATTCCCATAAGTTTAAAGAAGTGTCGGGGGCACCCCTTCCCTCCCCGCATTGTAAACATAACTATGGGTTAGCCCCCAGACCTTCCGGCATGGGTATGGTTAAACAACGAATTTGGGGGGGATTCTGCGACGTGAGCTTTGGGGGGGATGGGCACCCCTGGGTATAGGTAGTGACAGAGAGTACATGAGGGTAGCTTGTATTGGAGCCAAGTTGAGAGATAGATCACCTGGAACTGGTCTTACCTTCAGTATACAACAACCTGACTTGGGCAGAGTCTTTGGTATTGCTTCTCATGGTAGGTATAGGTAGGGACAGAGAGAACATGAGGGTAGCTTGTATTGGAGCCAAGTTGAGAGATAGATCACCTGGAACTGGTCTTACCTTCAGTATACAACAACCTGACTTGGGCAGAGTCTTTGGTATTGCTTCTCATGGTAGGTATAGGTAGGGACAGAGAGTACATGAGGGTAGCTTGTATTGGAGCCAAGTTGAGAGATAGATCACCTGGAACTGGTCTTAACTTCAGTATACAACAACCTGGTCAACTAGACATGACCGGCACTTACTCCTATAATTTACTTCCGTGATGGAGAGAAAGAAATTAATTATCCTTTAGAAGTCGCTTTTAGTTTTCTCTAATTTTTACAGTTAAATAGAATTTTAGAAAAGAATGACAAGTAAATAACACCATAGATAAAAGACACTCTCTTAGTAGATTTCTCATCCTTATGGAACAGCTGAAGACAATTTTATTGTTAGTTCTGTACGTTTTATGCAGAGGTCGTGTTTTGTTTACAATTTGTTTCCCGTTATTACAGTACTTTAAAACCTCGTTTAACCAAATAATACGCTCTAATCATAAACAATAACTTGTCCCCTAGTTGTACAACCAAACAGTAAAGCACAAATCAAGAAATTAACCCTAAAATAATAGAAACAAAATTTCGTTGACACTAGCGCCCAGTGTCACCGTACATGAACTAGACACGAAAAACGTGCTTCAAAATTTACAATCGGATGAGAAGTCTACTTGTGTTGGTTATGATAACACTTAACAGCTGCTTTTATTATTATTGCTGAGAGGATATCCTAAAAATGTTCAAAATGATCTGCCACAGCTCAAATAAATAAACTATCAAAAGTTATGAATGAAAATGTAAACTCTCCCTTTGTTCGCAGGAGATTTGGTGTATGCAGTTAATGGCAAAACATCCCCTACCATTCCCACCCAAGGGTTTACACTCGATCCTTTGGCTGAGACTATGCTGGACCATTGGGGACCAACCTCCACGGTATGATGAAAATGATCCAACCATATGTTATGGAAACATAATGTCAATTCAAATGTTAATTCTGTTTATATTACCATGTTGAGTAATTAGCAATGTTTGCTGTAGAGATAAGCGAGGGATTTTCCTTCCAATTCAAATTTTAAAGCAGAACTTTAACTTCTTTACTATACAAAACAAAGTTAATTAATTCTAATGGATTTGACTTTAGTGACACTACCGTAAAGTATACATTCAATTGTCTATGTTTGAATTGTAGTCAGTTTGCTTGCTTTCAAACAATTTTTTCTTCTATATAAACTTTTTAACTTACCTTACCTTTGTGGCCACTCAAACCTCAGTAGGTGTTTGGCCTCACCAACAACAGGTCGCCACCTTTCTATGTCTTCCATCCATTCCGTCTCTGGTCTGAGCTTTATTACGTCTCTTCGCACCTGGTCCTGCCATTATAGCTGAGGTTGTCCTAGTGGTCGTCTTCCAAGAGAAAGATTTTCAGACACCATTCTTAGCATTGAATCTTCCTTTCTTCTCTTAACATGACCGGCCCAATAGTTTCCTACTTTTGATTTGGCCTATTACGTCGGGGTCTGTATAGATTTATCTTAGTTCTTTGTTTGTCCTGATTTTCCACAAACCATTTTCATTAACGGGACCGTACATAATTCTTAGTATTTTATAAAAAAAATGCATATCTTTTCTTGGTTCTTTGTCAATATACAGGTTTCAGACCCGTGTACTACTGGCTGTATTATCATTTTGTAGAGTTTTGTTTTGGTTTTTCTTGTTTGTTGTTGTTTTGGTCAAAAGTCTAATTCCTCAGAAATAATCTGGCATTCGTCTATACTTAGTCAATGTGTTATTGGTCTATGTTCACTCCTAAGTATTGAAACTATGTAGTCCTTTTAAATTTGTAATCTCCAACTTGTAAAGAGTGTTCCACTTTTTAAACTTAGTCCAACTAAAATGGAAACTTATTGTAAACTCTAGCACATTCTATGCCCTCATAAACTACCACAGTATAAAAGTTTAAAGAGAAAATACAAATATAATCGACAATCGTAGCACACTATGAGAGGCTTTAACAAGCATTTATTACTTAAGGAAAACACTGACTTCAGCTGGTCTATTTGACAAGTCGAAACTCGAAAACAAAATCATCATGAGAGAAAGCAAGTATATCTGTACTACCTATAATAGTCAATGAAACTACATGGACAGCATTAAGCCATTTCAAGTTTTTTAAATGCTAAGATTCCCTGATATTTGTGCTTTCTCACCCTCAAAGGTGAAAATGTTGAACTAAGAATACAATGTCTTATTTCAGGCTTTCAACAACCCTCACGCAATCGCTATTTCTCAAGATGGACATTCTCTCTATGTCGTCGAGATTGGACCAAACCGAGTCTGGAAGTTTGAGCTTAAACCCAACTACGAGCCTAACAATGATAAAAATACTTTCTAACCTTGTAGAAATAACATGCCATCATATTGTATACATAGTTAAAGTACCTGTATCACTTATGATTAGGAAGACCTTATATAGAATATTTTGTGGTCTTAAAGAAATATTACTTTTATTTTTTGTTATTGAAATATATAGCCTACATTATCATAGTTGTTATTTTATTCTCTCCCTTTAAATTTTTTTGCAAAAATCATGAGTAACTAAATAAGTATTAGTGGTAAGCTTTCTGAAGGTTTAAATTTGAACCGCAAATTCATTTAAAACGAGCTGTAGGCCGTCCTATGTACGGGAATTGGGTAGGTAGTCAACTAAAACTGAATATAATTCAGAACAGCTAGTTTACACACATTTAGACAAATTCTGCCATGGGTAAAATCATCTTGTAAACAGCAAAATAGTAGCAAAATAGTAGTCTGTCACTTCGAAACAGGTATTTTAGTAAACATAAAATAAGACCCTTGATTATATACAGCAATGGTTATAGAATCTTACTTATTTCCTATAATCAAAATGACTAAATCACAGAGTAAATAAGCGAACTTCATAGTTCTTAGAATATTTTTTTATTCAACCAACAAATTATATTGCACTAAAACAAACTGCATATCTTAATGACTGCTCAAAAAAATAAATTAGAACATCTAGTATTTTACTATGTAGGTATATATAAATAATCTCATCCCCTTAACGATTAAATGAACTTATCGATGATTATAGCATTACACATACTATAAAAGTCAATTCTACGTATGTAATTTAATTTTCATCCAAATGCTGAATTTGTGTCGAAAATGCTGAATGTTTACAGCTGTTACGTTAAGCAAATGGTATTATACCAAAAGCTAGAGTAGAATGTTAGCGTTGGCTACTAGACTTTTTAAAATTTAAAGCTTAATTTCTAAAAAACAGAAACCCTAAACTAAAATTATGGCTTCGACATTCCCTAGTTCTCAAAATTATATTTCTTTCAACACTAAAGTCATGAAAATCCATTATGTGGTTGATTCAGAATCGTGAAATAAAAAAACTCTGTCACGTTTTAATATATATGATGATGATGATATATTAAATAATGATATGGGCTAAAGGAGCGGCTGTTTTAAAACGTTTGTATTAGCTCGCTTTCTTGTCCAGGACAAATTTTGCAATCAATTTTATACTAACTTCCCGATGAGCTAGAGGGTCTTGAAACTTGAAACATAGCTCACAAATGGATGACAATGCAATATTATATAATTTAATTTTCATATTTCTCTTGGGCTACGCCCCATGGGCTTGTTTTTATTAACTCGCTTTCTTGCAAATTTTGAGACTTCCCGACGAGCTAGAGACTTGAAACTTGAAACATAGCTCACAAATGGATTTTTTTATTTATTTATTTTTATTTATTTTATATTTTTATTTATTTTATTTTTTTTAACTTTATTTAATTTACAATCTGTTCAAGTTGAACAATAAGCAAATGATATAAATAGTAATACAAAAATAACTTGAAGAACATGAGCTAGTGATTGACCACCGTCAACACTAGCAAACAAAGAGAATTTTGATAACACTTAGCCGAATCTGAATGGTAGGTCCAATATCGTATGTCGCTTCAGTCTGTAAATGGTGTTGTGATTGTCCAATAAATTAAGTGCAAGATGATTTGAATGATTTTCCAATTTTATAATGTATTTTTCACTATATTTTGTAATTTCTTCTTTTACTGTTCGAATTTGAAGATCATTGTGAAGTGTTCTGTTGGTAACAAACCAAGGAGCGTTGACAATTTTACGTAATAATTTTGATTGGTAACGTTGAATAATTTCAATGTTTGTGGTACTTGCTGATCCCCAAAGCTGAATACCATAAGTCCAAATTGGTTTTAAAACTGTTTTGTACAGTAACAATTTATTTTGTGTACTGAGTTTTGATTTAGATCCAAGAAGCCAATTAAGTTTAGTTGTTTTTAAATTTAGATGTTGCCTTTTAGTCCAGATATGTGCCTTCCAATTAAGCTTTGCATCTAAGTGCATGCCCAAGTATTTTATTTCCGTTACTTGAGGGAGGTGAATATTGTTCATGGATACTGGAGGACTTGTAGCCTGATTTAAGGTAAAAGTAATGTGTGCTGATTTATTTTCATTAATTTTGAACCTCCATGTTTTAAACCAATGAGAAATTTCATCCAAGTTTATCTGTAAATTTGCTGTAGCTTGAGCTGGATTGTCGTGGACAGATAAAATCGCTGTGTCATCCGCAAATGTAGCAACCATAGTGTTTACACTTTCTGGTAGGTCCGATGTATAGAGAATATACATGTATGGTCCAAGCACGCTTCCTTGGGGGATTCCTGATTCTATAGGGTAAAGGTCAGTTAAGTAATTTTGATGTTTAATTTGGGAAGTTCTGTTGGTAAGATATGATTTTAAAATAGGAAAAACGGAATGGGGTAGTAACTTCTTAATTTTGAATAGTAAGCCAGAGTGCCATACTTTGTCAAATGCCTGACTGACATCAAGGAAAGCAGCAGAACAAAACAAATGGATGACAATGCAATATTATATCATTTTATTTTCATATTTCTCTTGGGCGACGCCCCATGGGCTTCCAAATTTTCTATGTTTACATTTTGAAAGAATGTAAATACTGTATATCAATTAATTTAAGTCAGCTGTAAATACTTAAATTTGACAGTTCGTAGAGCAGAGGTTAAGAGGTACAGGTTATGCTCCCAAGAAATCTATATCTATAAAAGAGGAACTATGTTTGTGTGTGTGTATGTGTGTACGTTATGGACTCCGAAACCGCTCAACAGATTGTAATGAAACTTTCAGGCATTATTTAGCATCTTTCAAGGATGGTTCGAGTGAAGTTTGGTGCAGATCCGTCAAAAGGGCTCTGCCCCAGAGGGTTTTAAGTGGGCAAATGTCAGACTTTTTGATCTACAATGTTTACAAATAAATATATTTTAAAAGCAGATGTTTACATTCACCAACTGTTTTGAAGGTTTGAATAATCACAACATTCTGTATTAGCATTAGTCATGATTTGAAATACTGTTAATACTGTTCAATGAAATGGCGACCATTTTTTTTTTTTTCTCATGGGGCTGGGGTATTCTTACCCCTTGCTACCTCGACCTACAAGATCTTTTGTAGCACCCTTTTTTGTTTAGTCACCTAACCGAAGTTTTCTTGCGAAGCCAATCAGTTGGTGCACACCCATTTCTCTTATTTCAGTAGGCATCGGGAATGCCTTTCCTAGGTGTTTCAACCTTTTATGGGCTAACGCCGGACATTCCAGCCATATGTGCTCAGCTGATTCTGTTTCGTTGAGACAGAATCTACACTGGTCTGTCTGTCTAAGTCCTATTGTCTTAAGGTACTTCCTTACATAGCCATGCCCTGTAAGTAGACCTATCAGGAGGATTATTTCTTCTTTTTGGAGGTCGAAGATGTTTCTCCATTCCTTACTAAGAGGATATTGATTAGCATCTTTGATTGTCTCAGGCCTGGGGTATTTTCCCAAACCTTTTCTTGTTGTCCCTCTGCCCAGGTTATGATTTTTGATCGGCCCTTGCTCACTGGGACTCCACAGCATGGTTCAGGCCCAATGAGTTCGGATTTTGCCCCCTCGCCCGCCAGGACGTCAGCCCTTTCGTTGCCTTCGTGCCCAGCGTGACCTGGGATCCATGCAAGTTGGATTCTGTTGTGTTTGCTCAGGGCCTTGAGGGTGTTCCTGCAGCTCTGCACAACTTTAGATTCCACCACGCAGGCGTCAATTGCTTTGAGAGCAGCTTGGCTGTCTGAGAGGATAAGCACCCCTCTCCTCTTCAGGCCTTTGTCCAACTGCAGTCTCGCACAATGCTCTATTGATGGCGACCATACATAGTAGGTATTTTAAGCCAAGTATAATGGAGATGAGTGTAGGATGAGTGGCGCGATCTTGTAGTCTTGTTAGTGACTAAGGCCGACAATAGTGCCAAAGTGTTTCTACAGAGTGCAGCACAGAAAAATATTTTACTTTTGAATAAGTCCAAATGTATTTAACCCCAATCGCAGCACACCTGTGCACTCAACAACGTTTAAATTCTCCAATGTTAAATATTAAAAACATAAAAACCTTTATCAAAGTATTATAAACAATAAAAGGGGTGACGATGCCTTAATATTTTTATCTTTCGTTCTATACCCACACAATCTATATAAGCACCATTATCCATGATTTTTCTTAGTTTACACAACAATCACTAAATATAGTCTTTATGAAGTACAAAATTTAAGGTAGGCGTGCTCTACAGCCTTGGCGAGTGACTTTAAAACTTCTACGAGTGCCTTAAAGACTAATTACCTAACCGTTTTTAATAACTAACAATCACTACTCATAAAAGGATTATGTTTTCATTTACCCTCTATGACCTCACATTGCCACCGATTGTGATGAAAAGACTCATTGTCCCAACCATGCACTTATTGTTTAATCAATTAAGTAATTGTACTTTTTTCTCTCAATCCTTGAACCTCATTGGTCCGTTAATGTTGTAAAGAAAAACCCCGTTAATGTTGTAAAGTAAAACAACAATGCTGTTAAGTATGTAAACAATGCTGTAAAGTGAATGTTTTCAATTCTAAGAACTGAACTAAAACTGCTAGGTAAAATCATTAGCACATGTTCCATAGGATCAGATGATGCATACCGGCAAACTCATTACTACTACTACCACAAGTCTTAAACATCGGTACAGTAGAACTGAAAATTTTGTTGTACGTACAAAGTTTAACAAAAATATCTCTCACTCAGTATTTTCTCAACCCTATAAATTCGGGGTGGCTTTAGCTTTTTTGAAAACAACTTTAAAGAGAAATTCAGGTATAACAATTTTTCCAAAACCGCTTCGTTAACCAGATATCCACCATTTTGTATTTTTACACAAAAATTTGTATCTTTGGACATTTTTTTACTGATCTTATAAAACTTGGTTGAAAAAGTCCAAAGATATAAATGTTTATGTAAAAAATACAAAATGGCGGATATCTGGTTAATGAAGCGATTTTGGAAAAAAATGTTATAGGTCTACATGATTTTCTCTTTATTTTCACCCAAGGAATCACTAGGTAAAATATATCCCCACCTGTTTTGAATACCCTGTGTGTGTATATACACACACACACATACTGTAGGCCTACATAAAATTTAAACGAATGGTGTTTTTGGCCTCTGGGGACATCAAAATGAAAAAGTAAATCAGTCCCGGGCCTAGGTCTTACCAATACCATGCCACCTACGGTAAGAGCTACTTCCCTATAGGGAAATTCTAAAACTCATTTTTACTCCCTAGAGACTAAAAATGATGTTTACTCCCTAGAGACTAAAAATGATTTTTACTCCCTAGAGACTAAAAATGATTTTTACTCCCTAGAGACTAAAAATGATTTTTACTCCCTAGAGACTAAAAATGATTTTTACTCCCTAGAGACTAAAAATGATTTTTACTCCCTAGAGACTAAAAATGATTTTTACTCCCTAGAGACTAAAAATGATTTTTACTCCCTAGAGAGTAAAAATACTACTCTAGACCCGCACCGCATGCATTAAATACGGCTGTTTTTGCTGCAGTATAACGAAAATGTCTTACAGTATCTTTTCGTCATATTGCAGAAAAACAGCCGTTTTTAATGCATGCGTTGAGGACTTTTTCAGTATCCAATAGTCAACGGTTGCGGGTCTGAAGTAAAATGTTAACTCTTTAGGGAGTAAAAATAGTTTTTAGCCCCTAAGGAGTAAAACCAGCAGTTTTCAACTCAGTTGTAAATTTCGATTGTAAAAAATTGCATGTATATCGATTGTTTAATTTATTGTAGTTAATTGTTGCCTTATTGTAAATATATCGTTGTGCACACTAACACAATCGTAGGTCTAATCTCAGAGTAATAAAACAAAAATCAAATTGAAAACAAGCTAGAAGTAGTTTTGAGGGATTATCTCTAAATTAAAACCATTTCAGTTTTGTAACACAGTTTGTTCAAATAATGTTTCAATATGATGAAAAATATAGTTCATCCCACGGGCAAAAAGTGTCTTTTCAACCCTCGCTCATTTCCAACCTCAGCTTCGCCTCGAAAACTTAAGAGTTCGGGTCGAAAAGAGTCACTTGGCCCTAGTGATGAAATATACTATATTATAATTCAAAGTTATTCGTGCTAATATGAAAAATGTGTAATACTCGAGATTTTAACAATACTCTAATTAATTATCAATGTGAGTTTAGGTAGAAAATAAATCCTATTTTTTTTGTAAATTGATTGTAATGTTATCTATGTGCTCTTTACTCTTTGCGTTTGTACACGGAAGTAAATGCTGTGTTCAAAGTTATTGTAAATTTACCCAGAGTATTAGGGATGCGCGTGCGCGACCTAAATCGATTTTGAATTTAGATTTTCGAGGTTAGGATTTGGCTTGGCAGCTAGCAGCCCAGCCCAGGCAAGTGTTATGTTTTGTAGATATTTAGTTTGGATTTTATAGTTGTCAATTTAACTTACATAAATTACGCTATAATAAACCATGTTAAAAAGTAAATCCAAACAAATAGAATTTCGTTCGTTCTGTTGCCCTAGGAATAATCTAAAGATTCGCATGTTCAAAAAATTAATTTGAAATTTCTGGATTTGTTTTGTTTGTAAGTTTTATTTGACCATCCGGAAAATAAACAGATAGGCACAATATATTATAAAATTATAAACACATTAATACTAGCAGCCAGCGTCACTGCGTAACTTCACAAAATCAATAATGATATATTTTATATATACAGTAGTTGATAAGGGCGAAAACTATTATTTCTCATCATATCCCTATTATTTTCATTGCGTGCGCGATCACTTGGAGGCATCTAAAAAAATTGCAAAATACAAATGAAACACACTATGAAAACACAAAATACTATCACAACACCAAATATAATGTTATCCATATCTTCTTTACATTTTATACAAAACAATATTTTAATTGAATTCACTAAAACATCACCAACTGTAATGATAACCCCATTTTAGTAAGGATGTCAACAAAATTTTATCATAACCATCTGTTTTGATGTAAACAAATGTAAATTTGAAGTTCAGATGATTGACAACAGAATACAGCACAAACTCTGACATTGTAAAAGTCTGTAGGATTGGACTTTCACGAGATATATCCAAACCCGCAAAAAACACTTCTAGAGGATAAGAGCTTTAAATTGATACCCAATATGCCTATAAAAATAAATATATAGGGGTCAATTTGCTGCATACAAAATTTCAACAAAGTCTTAATAAAATAGATGGATTTCTATGTCGATTATTGCCACTGATACAATTAAAACGTCGGTATATTTATTGAAGTCAGCATTGTTTTACATAAAAGTAGTGTTAAATAAATTTTATAAAGAAAAACACAATAAATCATCTAGGTTTTGATAATAAATATTATGTAACGAATTACTAGAGGATCATTAATATATGTATTTTACCTTGAGAAGAAGAGAAAATAGGATTCCATTTGCAGCATAAGAAACATTATTAGCGTTTACAATAAAATACAATTTAAGAAACGTATTTGAATTAAAATGCTTAAACGGAATATATAAAATTAGTCAATAAATATATTCGAAAATTGCATTCTGAAATTTACCACAATTTTCAAGCTAAGACATTAAAATGACCCCATTGCAGCAGCCCTGCCTGCAACCTGGCCAACTTCCAATTTTTAATTGTCTTGTATTCAGTCAGGTTTAGTGTATAGTAAACACATATTTTGAACCATGTATAAAATAAAATAAGCTTAGAGAATATTTTAGAGAAATAAAAATACCCCCGCCACAGTAAACCTGCAGACTAAGCGAATTTCCATTTGCCTGATTGGATTTACACTAAAATGTCTCGTTAAAAATATCACATTTATTCCCTATTTAAATAGCCTAACATTAGTTTAACGAGTACTTAGGTTTGCTGCAACAGGGAGGGTAAAAAGGTGTTTTTTTAACGTTAATAGTTTAGTATGAAATGAATGCATTTCCCAAATTTGATCAAAATATGATCATAAACAAGCAAACTACAACAGTTTACTTATTCTCCATAAGAATAACATGAGAATTTTAAATTTACAGTTTTTTGGTATTTTCTCCGTAACCATTAGGCGCATAATAACGCTTCAATACACTAAATTATTTGTTTTTTAAGCTCTACAAAATGGTTTGGAAAGAAAATGCTAAATATTAAGTTTTTAGGTTCAAAAATGGGAAAACCAATTTTTGCCCCACAAAACCTCCCATAAACCCCTGTTCCCATGTCCGATCATGCTGGTTCGCTAACTCGTTCGAATAAACGTAGGTTTACACGTTTGTAACAAATTTAATCAAAATCGGATGATTTTTGCTCGAGTTATCGCGCTAAGGACACCTCAAAACGAAAAAGTAAATCGGTACCCGGGTCCAGGTCTTACCATGAGTACTACGGTAATCGCTTATTCCCTTAAGGGGAAATTCGCTAAAAAACACTTTTAATATCTTGAAAACCAATAGACGTAGGATCAACGTGTTGCGTAGGGGCTAAATTACCCTTTTTCCGGGTGAGTGTAGGAGAATACTTAAAACTAGAGCCGTAGATTAAATATTAAGATAACAAGAAACAGGATAGAACATAGGTTTTCTTCCAGGGTCCTTTCTAGTCATGCCACTGTTGATGTCTAAATAGATACATTAACTACATTTAATCAAACACCGTACATAGTACAGCCTATTTGTTCCCTTTTCCCAATGCCAATAGGCGTTTCAGCCATCAACACAGGCTAATAGTGTATATTTTCTCAATGTGTTCCGTCGTTGTCTAAGTGTACCATATTATTATTGTCAACTACTCGCGCTGAAATTTCCCGCTTCATTTCCCCGGAAACCTTTGCTGGCCTGGAGAGATTTGTTGATTACCTGGATATAGAAAGGATTTTTCAGTAATTTTTTGTTGTTACACGTAATATGTGTTCATAATAACATTTCGGTCCCAGATATTCAAGCTAGAAACGTGGAGGCAAGTTGTACTGTTTTAAAGCGATTTTGTTCATACTTGGTATCGGAGCGGAGTACAGAGACAGAGTGCAGATAATTTATAAAGTTAACTGTTGTAGTTAGTTTGTATGGGTGTATCGAATTTGATACATTTATCTATTTCATACTAAACTAAGCTAGTTTTGACATTTCTTTGAAAATATCCTAGTCAAAATCTAATCAGGCAAATACAAATTAGCTTAGTCTGCAGGTTTGCTGCAGCGGGGGAATTTCCGTTGTTTCATTGCTCCTCCTGGCGCGAATCTAATCTTGAATGGTTATTGCTTGACTATGGGACATAGCTTAGAGATCGGGAGATTTTAGATTTTTTCAAGCAAACACATTATTTTGACGTGTTTACAATTTGTATAGTCTTTTAATGGTCACTTATGAAGCCAAGTTATACACTTATGTGTACCTGATACCAAGCAGAATGAATACAATATGTTTATACTTCCTATATCGTAGAATCAGTTTCAGATGTGGGCTGGTGTGCTATGGTTGGCCGTAGCAGCGCTACTAGCAGTGGTCGTAGCCAGACCCAACCCTACTATAAACGACCAGTCTGTCAGGGGATATCTAACTGAGGTAAATATAACATAACTATCCAATAGAACGAAACAGGGATTAGGAAAAACATAACGTACCTTCGCTAACTAAATAGTTACCTTTAGTGGAAAATCGCTTCCAACATACCACCTGCCTAATTACTATTGAGTGTCTAGCTAACCAGTAGACACCAAATACATACAAGGGAATAAGTACCCGCTGCTAGACACCCAATAGAGATAAGTACCTTTATGACAAATGCACGTTATGCTGTTTAAATACCTGTTTTATTATGTTTATAATTATTATCTTTTGAAGTATCACTAGGTTGATAACATTGTTGATTACATGGTTATTCGTGATCTTATTTACTATAAACAGAACAGTAAATTGAGTAATCTTAGTCCTGAATTTGGCCTTAAACATGTGCACAACTCAGTGCGTCAAACCCTTCAAGCAAGCAGACGACTCTCACATGTTGTAGAGTAACTGTTTGCTTGTTAGACAGGTCGCTCACATCTGGAAACCGCATGCGATGATTTGGTATCGTCACTTTAGGAAGAAAACCCTCCACAAGAGAGTTAAAGTTATACATGTTGAAATGTTTTATTCAATAGTGCAACTTTAAATTGCGTATATAACACTGTATAAGATCTAGCTGCTTGAAATGTGGTAATTTGATTATATATTTTAACTAGCAGAGTACCCGTCCTTCGTACGGGGTTGGCATATAAGTTTAAAATGCTTATTGCAGTTATACTCAAGCTTTGCGTTTGCAATGGGGGAGGACAAAGTTTGATAAAATATGCTTCTTTAAATTGACGGTATACTATGATATTACATATCTACCATAACCATAATGTTCTACCACTTCACTTAAACAACAAAGAAAAATAAATTATAACAAATCCGCGATAATTCACAAATTATTCATGATATTAAAAACATAAACATTACTGTAAACACTTCTATTTTGACAGTTATCATTGTTTATCACAGTTTTTTGTTGCTGCTTAGTTCAAATTAGCTTTTTACATAAATGAAAAACAAAAAAATATAATGCTGCGCCCTGTTAATGAGTCTTATAACTTTTTTATGATTTTGTATATCATATAACCATAGAACCAACTTTTATAGTTGAAACAGCTGACTGAAGAAGATAGTAGTTTTAACCCATTTATTTATTTCCCTTTAAATATGAATACTCTTAAGGTTAACATAGGGAACTACAGAGCCACTGGGGCGGAGCCCGAAAGGATTCTTGAGATAAGAACATGCCTATATGTTAATTGGGAATGTGAGCTATCATCATGCCAAATTTCAGCCCAATCCGTCCAGTGGTTTATGCGTGATCAAACAAACAAACAAACAAACACACAAACTTTCACATTTATAATATTAGTAAGATAGTAGTTTTAACTCAGCTTATCAACAGGACAAGAACTCGGGATAAGACTATTTACGTGAATAACAAATTATATTTAATCACTCACGATATTTAATTCCAAAATATCTACCTTAAAACCTTGAAACCATTATGTTGAAATCGAAACGGCCTTAGGCTATTATTAAAAAAACTATTTCATGAAATGTTCTATTTGTATATTAAAAGAATTTGTTGGATTTTTGTGTGCAGAAAATCGACCCGTAAATATTTATTTGTATAGCCATATTGGGTATCAATTTAAAGCTCTTATCCTCGATGTGCCTTTTGCAGGTTTGGATGTATCTCGTGAAAGCCCTTCGTCTTACAGGATTTTAAATTTTCAAAGTCTCTACTGAATTCTGTTGTCAATCATCTGAACTGTTTCAAGTTTACATTTGTTTACATCAAAACAGATGGCCATAATACAATTTTGTTTACATCCATACGAAAATGGGGTTATCTATAAGTTGGTGGTGTTTCAGTGAATTCAAGTACAGTAAATAATTTAAGTTGCACGTTGTTTTTTTTATTCAAGAATCAATCTACGAATACGATTGTGGATCAAACAAAAACAATAGATTTGTCGTTGAAGTTAAAAATAATAAACACAATCTTTTACATTATAACTAGCAGCGGTGTTACTTTCTAGTATGATTTAACAAAGGCTAACACAATACAGTCCACTTTCCTTCTTGTCAAATTAGGACAAGAACAGCTTAATGCAAGTCATAGCAGTTGAGTTGAGTGCTTCAGATGATGTTTGATGTCAAACGCTTTTACTTTGAAGTGCATTAACCATGCCAAAGAGGCCCATCAGGCACCTTTGTTTTAATTGTACACATAACTTCACAAACTTCTATAGCAGTTATCAAACAGAAGATAGTCTTAACTAACACCACATGGTTGTTTGTTAGACTGCACTATATAATGGGACATTTTCAAAGGGTTATACCAAAAACAAACAACAACGCTCAAAACAAATAATAGTGTTAGTTAAGTTATATTTCAGTAATTTATAATAGCTACCTGTCTTCAGTTTTATAATTGAGGACACATTTTTCAAAAACAGCTTTGAAATCCAAAATTATTTGGTCCATAAATCGAATCAGCTCAGTTGTAAATGTTTCTCCAGGCACGTATTGAAGTTCCGTTCATGGCGTTGGCCTAAGCTTATTTTCCATTACTAGAATTTAACCTATTATTCTGTGAGGTTAAACACTGAGAGGAGCTTTTTACTGGTGGGACAAAGGTCTACAAAAAGAGCCTTCGCAACCAAATGTTTGAGTATTTATTTGCAAGGGAACTGCTGGTGCTGGTGGGACGATCTACAAAGCATACTAAGCCCTGTTACGCTGCACGTGTTTTAAGGTGTTCTCTTAGTTTTATCTAAAACAAATTCTCAGTTACTCTATTATAGGTAACCTATTATTTTTGTAGAGGACCTGCTGGTGGAACGAGATCTGCAAAGAGGAGTTCCAGACTCAGTTCCGTTGCAAATGTCCACAATGGAGCTTCTGTCGCAGTCCTGGCCGCTATTACAACGCATATTGTACCATGACGGGAACCGGTTACATTTGGACACAACCTGAGAGGAGCTGGAGAATATAATCAAGCTGTAACGACAATCCTCACCGTCTTTATATGATATTAAACATACACGTAAATAACTACATAAAAAATGCAGGAATGTTTAATTTATTTACGAAAAGCAAGGTTAGTTTTCGAATTCAAAGAAATACCACTAAAGTTATTCTGATGAAACCAGTTCAAATTATATTTCCGCACTTGCTCTATTAAATCAACCTAAGATATGATTTTGTGTCATAAACAATTTGAATACTGACATAACAGTAATTATTTAATTGGTTATTGGAATTACAAACACTATAAACCAGTAACATTGTAAACAGACAATTTTGTCGATTTATGTTAATATATTTAACTTCCAGAATTCCCGACAACTTTCGTCTAAGAATACTAAATAAAAATATTGAGTACCTACCTAAGTCAAGTATTAATAACATTTTTACAAGTGAAATATTCAAGAGTGATATCAACGCAATGAATCAAGATGTTGGAGTTGGATGTTGATGTAAATAATGTTAAGTAGAAAATGTTAAAATTTTTTATTTTGTATCATACATAAATTCTTTACTGAATACTCGAACTTTTCTGTAAAATTATCTCTAGCACCCAGTTTGCTTGTACAAATAAATATACTGTAATGACTCTAAAATCACTATTCTTGCTCAATTGTTGTTTGATTTAAAGGGTTTGAATTAAGAATAATCCACAACTAATATATATCTTTGGGTGTTATTTATCAAAGAGAGCTACTTATAAACAATTTTTATTGCTAAGAAGAAATTTAAACAATGTTATTTTGTTGTTAGTTCTACGTGTTGTAAAATAAAATACGTTTGCTCACTATATGATAAGAGGTTTATTTTATTCCTAAAGTTCTAGGAAGTAGTAGGAGGTTATAGTTCCTACATGTTTGATTTATCAAACGAGTTAAACGCCTCGGAAGGATGCGCAAGAAAGAGTTATTAGGTTTATATTAGGTGAAGTACAGATTTACTATCTACAAATTTACTAAGACAATATGTGTGTTGTTGGACCGTTGCTCTCCCCCTGTGATTCCTAGTAAAATGCCATCAGCGTAGACAACAAGAAAAAATGTGCAATTACCAATCAGAACAATATATTTATTTACTACTGCCAATTCTTTGGAATTATTACTAGAAGAAAATGTGAAACGTAAAATTTACCTTTACATTTACAACAGAAACTTTAAATCTGCAGAAACACACACGAGCGTTACCAAACATGAGAACACCAAAACAAAATTCAAATTTTACAAACTTGATGGTATTACTCTGGACAACCATCTTTAGTTAAATTCCTATTGTATTGTTAACTTTAACCTTATTTAAATCTTAATATATATAAAAAAAGTTGTGTTAGTTACAGCGTTTATAACTAGAAAACTACTGAACCAATTGGCATGAAAATTTACAGGACTAGAATAACATAATAGCCTGTTTCCGTTTCAAAAACCCTTAAGGGAAGCGTCCTATGGCCCTTTGCAGTTTACATGTTAATCTTATGGAAGAATGTTTTATTTTGTTTACCATGCCATGTTTGTCATTTCTTGATTAAATTAAATTAAGGAAACAGCTGTTGTAATGATAACCTAATTTTCAAAAACAAATCTATGCATAACAAATGAGAGCTATCAAATAGGTTTCTATTCCATTTGTTTTTTACGAATATTTGTTGTCAAATGTAACTGAAGGCAAGTGAGTGCAGCGAACGAGCTCCAACCTAAAGGTGAGTGAGCGTAGCGAACGAACTTCAACCTGGAGGCGAGTGATTGTAGCGAACGAACTAACCTGCAGGCAAGTGAGCGTAGCGAACGAACTTCAACCAGGACGTGATTGAGCCATGCGAGTATGTATATAAATGAGCTCATCTTGAAAATGAACGAGCATTTGACATAAAACCACATTAGGACAGGACGTCTGTCGGGCCAGCTAGTTTTTTATAAGTAACAGACTAGTTATTTTATCAACCCCTGATGTTTCAACTGTTGATTTTTAAAATTATTTTACCTACGACAGTTTTTTAAACTAGACGTTTCAGTTCAGTAGTTAGAATAGAAAAGATTCACTTAACAGCATTGTTTTACTTAACTACACGAGTTATTGACCAATGAGATTCAAAAGAAAAATTGAGAATAAAAGAAGTAAAACTGTAATGTTTGGAACTTGAACTAATCAGCTGTTTAGACCAATTAAATAGTTAATGAGTGGTGCAATAATTAGTGTTTCGTTGCATCACTGTCAGTGGCAATGAGAGGTTATACACGAAAACATAACCTCTCATAGAAGTTATGAAAAGTGATTTTTAGTAATTAAAAAATGGTCGTACGCAACTCGCGTAAATAGTCTTAACGACATTCGTAGATGTTAAAAAAAAATCTACTCGTGTCGTTAACACTCTCTTTACGAGATCGTTGCGTAAAATACTATTATGTATTTAAAGTTATCCATATGTTTTTATGTACATGACATGGTTCAATTATTAATTTACGGATAAAAACTCATGCTACAAGAAAGGATTTGAAGTCAATTCGAAGAAATATTTATTTACCAGTAGGCCTAAGGTGGTATATTATTGAATAAATAATTTTTCATTCGATTCGCAACCAAGCCTAAAGCATACACGACGCAATCAACTGATGACTATGACGATATACAACATTGCTACCAACTGCATGTCATTTAGAATTAATCGCTGATCAGTGTTGTGCTTTGTAACGAATGGAACCTTTTTGCACATGCTGGCATTGATTAAAATCCATTGGAGTTCATATGAATGATTGTTATTTCTAAGTAAAATAACTGACCGATCTTTTAATCTCACTTTAGATGCAATGGTTAAGTTAACGTTTTTAGCACACAACTTGCAAAGCATGCATAATAATAATTAATGTTTATACAAATAAAAAAAAATTAAACTGTTAAAATAATTACACATTGAATACGTTAAGATCATAAAGCTCATCAAAGGCAATGATATCTCTAAGATCATCAATGAAAATAGACAAGGCAAAAGTGGTGGCTAATGACCTTAATTAATTCAATCGTGTAGTAAAAATACCAAACTTTTAATTCAAATTTTTTCCAAAACATAAAGTCCATTTAAAATTTGATTTACGATTTCTGTATCACTACACGAGGTAGCCTGGCGACGTCGCCAGCGGCAGTAGCTGGCGATGCACTGGCCACCAAACCTATAACCAGTTGAGTAGCCAGTTGAGTAGCCAGAATTTTACCGCCGTGGCGCCGCGGTTGTTGTGAGTGCTTGTCTTGCACTTGTACTTGTTATGAGCGGTGTTTACAGTGAATAATGAGTGATTATAAGTATCTTCTCCTTCTGTTACTTCTGAAGAAAAGGAGGCAAAGGAAGAGAAAAATGTACGTTCATTTAATGCTTAGTGCAAGAGAATCAAAAGGGTTATATTACACCCTTTTTGATGAGCTCTGTGCGGACAATAAAAAATGTTTCAATTATTTTCGTATGTCACAATCCAGTTTCTTCGAGTCATAAAGGATTATATAGACATTTTATCAACTGAAGTGAACAATTCACACACTCACAACACAACAGAACGCAACACAACAGTGTGCAAGTACCCCCGTGATATGAACTAACCGAGTGGCGACGTAATACTGGCGACCTAGTGTAATAAGCTCCATATGCTACAACGCAGCGTCGCCAATATGGGTAGCCAGTGGCTACCACAGTGGCGACGGGGCTCGGTAGCCAGTCGGTCGCCAAAGTGTGGCTGCGTCGCTGGCTACCCTCGTGTAATAACATCCATAAGAATCAATGCCCCATGACAAGCTGAGTAGCCAGTTTGGTCGCTGGCGACGTCGCCAGGCTACCTCGTGTAATAGGGGCCTAAGGATCCTCAAACAACATAATCGTTGCTCATAAAAACCACCCGCTCATGACCTTCGCACAGCCAAAGTTTCGGTAACCTCAATTGTTCCTCGTATTACTTCCTTAATCCTTGCCGATTTTGAGACTGCAAAAACTGTAAAGTATGCAAAAACAAGGCCCTCGATATTGTTGTTTCAATGGTGGGCGTTTCTGCAGCGAACAATCCAGTCATGTCCTCAATAAGGATCACCACCCACAACGTATCCTTGCGGTAAATAATTCAATTGTTGTGAATCAGATTGATTGTAAGGTTGTGTTATTAATTTCTTCCTTGATAGCTAATGCTCAATATATAATACAAGAAGGGACCCTTATTTAATCTGAATACAGGACCTGAAAATTTAATTTCTGAATTATATTACATTGAATTTAATAACTACACCAACGCAAAATCATGTCCAACTAAGATAACAATTTTCACAAATGTTTGATGTCAGAGACGAAATATATCATTTAAGTGATACAGGTAAGGCTAGAACCACAATAATATACTGCATTATGACTGTATCATCGATGTATAAACACCCACGGATACAAAAAACAATAATTATTAATAATTATTAATAATAAATAAGTCATACAAAGGTAAGGCATGTTTCGCTCACGATCAACAATTATCACGTTCTTCTGTGGTAAGCCACAACGCATTGTAACGCCAATCAATCCGACTCCTTTACGTTTTCTTGATACTTTTTACACGACTTTTTGCTCCCTCAGGATGTTTAAGGACGCCAACTCGGGGATGTCCAGCTTCTCGGCCTTCTCTGAGGACACTTTCTTGGAACGTCCGGAAATGAGAGACATTCGTTAACTCGGGATTGCCAGCGTGATGCGGACTGAGTTGTCCATGACCTCGGTATTTTCACTGTACCTTCCTCAGGTTAAGTCGGATTGTGCAAAATTGTGACTCACTTCAACATAAATTAGACCTTTGTCACATGTTGTCAAATTATGTTGCAAAAGCCGATAGTAGGTATGAACACGTTTTAAATACCGTAAACTGGTCGATATTTAGTCATTACTCTTTACATTGATACGGGGATCCAATATATTAAACCTGAAATGAGTTAAGAACTAGTGTACCTACATGTTGCTCGAATTCGAGCAATTGCAAAGTATTACAGGAGTTATTAAAAAAAAAAACTAATGACAGTCATATTTACAATGAGTTTAAAAGAGTCAACTCAAAGATTACCGGTGTGTAACTCAGACCATGTTTATCTTCGTTATTGATAAACCTAAAGCATTCCGGCCGGTTTTCACCTTCTCAAAATGTTTCGCTGTACAGGCATCACAGGTCATTGATAGAGGGCCAATTGAGAACGTAAAGTCGTTTTGGGGTAGTGTTAGGGCGCATTTGTAACCTAATAGTTGAGACTAACCATAGTCAGGTGCCGACTGTGATGAGTTAAGCCTATTACGCGCCACTGTTCTGTAGCTGCGGTCGTTATCACGATTACGCCTCCTTGTCTATGTTTCGTTGTCGTCGCGTCGGAGGCATTTAAAAGAAAAATACAACAAATGAACAAATTATAGCTACACAAAACAACGATAAATGCACAGATTTAAGTTACAATCATACTAACACGGTCCGTCATAGCGACACAAAACAACGATAAATACACAAATTTAAGATACAACCATACTAACACGATCCGTCTTGGGGGTTATGTTTACACGAACTCAAATAGTAAATAAATGTACTCAATGCGTTTTATTGAATTGAAAAATAAAGGTATTTACTCAGGGGAGGTACAGAAGAGGCTACGATGACAGCTGTGGGCTTCTTATTAGCTGAGGGAACGCCATTACCGTAACAATACGAGCTGAGACCATCGGCCTCGGTGGTCTAGTGGTTAGCGTGCAGGGCTGATAGGCTGAAGGTTCCGGGTTCGAATCCCGGTAACAATTTTAA